GCTTGGATATTTTTGTTACTTTATTGAAGATTAGGTTTACATCGAAAACACACAAAATTGCGAACGAGAAAGAAAGGCAAAGAAGAAGTCTGCCAATTTTTCGACTGTTCCCATTATTCGTATCCGGCCAGAGTCCAGTCGTTCGACCATTCGTGGACGCTTATTAAATTAACTCGTTTAATTGCCTGCGGCCGCCATTATTTCATGGAACTGAACTTCTTTCACCCATATGTATCCTATGTGTATATTAGAAAAGTTATGTGTGTGAGAGCATATATGTATATGTAACGCATAGAAACTCGATCCTGGGAACGAAACATCGTTCATCATCATTTCGTTGAAACAAACCGTCGAGATAATTTTCCTCATCTGAAATACATTTTTTTCGGATATGTTTTTTCCTACATTTATTTTTTTGTTTTAAGCTCGATCGCATACTGTAGTCAATCTCATTTTCTCTTTTCCTTTCTCTCTCTCTCTTTCTTGAAAAAACATGTTTCAGTAAGAAAATAAGAAAAAGAAGAAACTTTGGTAACAATCTACAAAGTTTGGTATAAATGATACTATCCAAAAGAAAATAATGACACAATGTCGGGAATACGAACTTAACCTACTTGGAAGGTAAACTTTTAACAATTCGCCAATGGATATCATACTAATATACATATATAGATGAATTTCTTATAGAAAACTTGTGTTACGCTCGTCAAGTAACATTTACGTATATATATATATATATATATATATATATGTATATGTACTTACGCTAGAAAAAAAATCCTTAAAGCATCGTTGCGAGACGAACTGTTCATTGGTCGACTGGTCTCGACAAACGACAATCATAAATTTGTTAAGACTCGTTTTATAAATTTATCTGTGAATATATGTGTGTGTGTGTGTGTGTTTGTAAGGACACGAGAAAGGGCGATTGAGTAGAGATATAATACTGGGTATTAATCAATAGCTATAGTTAACAACCTAATCGAAAGTGTCTCTCGTAATTCACAATGTTTTTTTTTTTTCGAATAATTTAAGGAATTTCTGAAGCTAAGAAGATCATTTAAAACATTTCATATACTAATGAAATATTTCTTTATTTGATTATTTCATTTCTCCTTTTATATAAATCAATTAATTTATATTAGGCGTGTCCGGTGTTCTTTACAAGATTCACGAGTGAATAAAATGCGAGATTATCGATAGGTTAAACGATAAAACGAGAGCTAGCTATGAGATTGCTATCCATTTGGAAATTAAAGAATCGCTAGATAGATAAAAGAGAAAGGTGTGTATATATATACATACATATATACATCGTGCTTGTATATAGGGTATCTTAAAAGTCGTTTTATTGAACTGAAAAATTGTACATTGTTTTTTTTTTTACAATTATTTGGAGTAACAAAATTGTGGGCCAATACTTTTTTAACAACACTGTAACTTCAGATTTATATTTTGAAATACACATATCACATATATACACGGGATATCATCAAAATCATTTTATCCAACTAAAAACTATACATTTTTATTATCAAGTATTTGAAATAGTGACTGTGCGAGTTCAAACTTTATTAAGATTCGTGTTTTAAAACGAATACGAAAATATATCGTAATTTTATTTATAAACTGAAATTCATTTTTCATTGTTCGTTTTTTTTTTGATAAAGTGATATTTTAGGATACTCTGTATATGAGACTGGATGAGATATAAATTTATTCATTGAACCATTTCAGGTTTTCATTAATGAAATTTTCAAACAAATTATTCGAAAAATTAGATCATATTTAGCCGATAATTGAATTCAAAAGGATAGTGTATAATCGTTTCAAGATATTATTTTCAGCCGAATATACAAGCAAATTGAACTAATTAATTCATTCTAATCAAACTAGTCTGAGATCGGATAGGGTGAAGGACCTTGGAAGTAGAATGAGTAATATAGTTAGGGTTGGAAATTTGGTAAGGGTTAGCAGTCAAAATAAAAAGTTAAAAGTGTGTATAGGTAGTAATGAAAATGAAAGAGTTCTAAATTTGTAGAATCAATTTGATGATCTTTTATTCCCTAATTTGACAACATAATTACTTCATTATTTTTTGTGTATATATGTGTATGAATTACATTGGCTAATAAATTGGATCGCAATGATCATTATTGTATACATTGAATAAACAACATTAACAATTATACATTATTATATTTTTCATTAAAATTTAAAATGTTATTTTATTTAGATATAAAATATAATAATTACATTATTAATATATATATATAAAATAAAATAAAATATAGAAATGCAATATATAATAAAATTTGTTATATTAACCATTAAACCTATGAATTATTTATCTACTTTTACCAATACATATATTTATTTACGATTAAATCCAAATAATAGATAATCAATAATAATAACTTATAAATAATAAATGAAACAATATATTTATAATTATATTATAATCATAAAGTAAAATAAAGAAAGGTAGAACAATAACATTGAATAGAAAATTGTAATCATTTGAAATTAAAAACCGGTCACGGTACGTTTAGTGTTAAGTTAGTAACGACGTAGTCCTGTTTATGGTATTCTCGTAGAAACGTCATGGGGCGGCTATTATCGACAGATACGAGGACAAATGGCGCTGATGGAAAGATCGCGATCCATTTTCGATTTGCCATGTTGAGATAGAAAGACCAGAACAACCGCGGTCGCGGCCGTGGCCAGTTAGTCCCGCTTTCTCACTTTCTCATTGAAACGTATCTTTCGCAATATCGCATACGGTAAACTTGATACTTTACTAATGCAATCTTATGATTTGTAAATCTGCAAATATTTGAAAATTTGGTAAAGCAAAGCATCAATTAGGATTTCTCATTGTTTTATGTATCAAGTACATACAAAATTTGTAAATAAATCCAAGTAATATCTCAGCTTTTTTCTATTATAATGGTAAACTTCAATAGTTCACATTTTCCATTAGTATGTTATTAATACATTGGTTGTATAATTGTTTAGAGAATTGTACTTACGATTTTTTATTTACATATACATTAAAAAATACGAGAAATATTAATTTAATTCTTACATGTTATTCTATTAGTTAATATTTAATCAATAATTACAATTGTATAACTGCAATTTATATATAATATATTAATCACAT